ACCACTACAAAAGGGTAAATTAATGTCTCTTCTGTCGTGGGGATAGTACAGCACGAAGATCTTTGCCGGAGAGAGACCCTTTGATGGTGGACTTTCCAGCACTCTGGAGCCAACAGATTCTTGTTCATTAGAAAATGCCTGGTATGTGGTAATATGTTATCATAGCACAAAACACAAAGAAACAACTCCACATTTTCCTCTGTGGCTCAACAGAGTTCAATCTTTCTATCCCATGGAAGCATGTCATGGTACAGTGAAACCGGGCTAACTCAGGAGGGCCTGAACTTCACAGCATTGAGATTTCTCCTCTTTGTGTTTACTTTCTTCATTTACCTTTCTTCTTTGGACCAACTCTCCCCTCATTCCACAGAGTGTGTGGATATCTCTTTGGATAGGAAAGCTTGCCTCTTCTAATGTCCCCCCAGATTTCACATACACAGAAAGAGAAATCAAGGCAAATGCATGCATAAAGTCCTTATTCCTCCAGAGTTCCTGTTTCCCACCCAGGTTGTTGCTACCTCATTGCGTGAATGGGCAGTCAGTCATATCACTTACAGTGGCTATGTGTAAGCCCTAATCCCACCAGCCAGCAACATGGGAACCACAGTTTAAATTTATTTTTCAATGTGGCTTTGTTTTGTCTCTTCCTTGAGTTGTTAGGGAAACAGTAATCATTTCATTTCAAAGTGGCCTTCCCTCTTTCTTGGAAGCAGGCAGAAAATGAAGAGTGTATAGTCATCTTTAAGCCTCACTTCATCTTACTCAGAAATCTGAGTTTTGAGAATTTTACAGTTAAAACTTTATTCTTTATTTACCATTTCCTGGAAACTAGGAAGGACAGTTTCTTGTATTATCTAAGCTAGGGTTCATTTACCCGACGAAGGCCAAACATCCAGAAAAGTAGTGGGAGTGAGTGTAGAAATGACTAGGTCCAGAAGGGACTCACATTCAGATGGGTCTTTCCAATGCTCTTTCTAATAGGGTAGGCAGTAGTCTCTCTTAGTGTGTGGGTTGATTTCAAGAAAATTCAGAGGTTGGTTCTCAGTATTTTATTTGGTTCACGTCAATGATCAGTGAGGCTGCTGTTGGCATTGGGTTCTGTGGAATGAATGGCAGTTCTAGCTTGTCTTCCATGCTTCCAGAGCCTTTGTGTGTAGGGGGGTGTCTCAACAGAGGAAGATCATCATCAGAATTTTAAACATTAAGAGGTCTGTAATTACGATCCGTATTCATCTGATCCATTTTAGAGGGAAAGAGAAATATCAAATAAAAAACTTTGTTCCCTTTCTTGCCATTTGACCTGAATCCGGGATCAGCTGCTGAGATGCATTTTGTGTACAGTAGGGACCTCCGTGCTCATCTCTGCCCTGCTTGCTCTCCTCTGTGCCACCTTCTTTCCCCCAATTTCTTCTTCTCCTTCTTCCAATCCCTTTCTCTTCTTTCTTTATATTAATTAAAGCCCTTGCCCTCCTCATCCAAGATGTGATCCCTGAAATGCAGAAGAAGACATAGTTCTGAAGACTTGCATGTACATTCTCTTGTAGACCACTCAGAGTAGGCTCCTTGTGTGATGAAATTTCAGTTCACATCAATCAATGCATCCAAAATATAAGAAAGGACAACTCTTCAGTGTGTGCACAAGTTCTTTTCTTTTGCTCATTTGGTGCTATCATGTTTTGAATGTCACACAGACCAGGTAACTTTTCTACAATTCTGACACTTCTCTAGTCCTTTTGAATTTTTGCTTTGAGATAGATAGGGTTGGACCAAGTTACCAAGGCTAGTTTTGAACTCACTTTATAGCTCAGGCAGACATACAATTGTCCTGTTTCTGCCTCCTGAGTAGCTGGGATATGGACCTTTATCATCAGGTCTGGCCACTGCGCATTAGGTCTATGAGGGATATAGACCATACATATTACATTTCTGGGTTCCTTGTGCCTTTTTCTAATGTTCCCCCAAATTTCACATACACAGAAGGAAAAACCAAGGCAAATAAATAAATAAATATATAAAGTCCTTGTTCCTCCGGAGTTCCTGTTTCCCACCCTGGCTGTTGCTACCTCAATGAGTGAATGGACTGCCAGATCATTTACATGGTGTGTAAGCCCTAATCCCACCAGCCAGCAACATGGGAATCACATTTTGAATTTATTTTTCAATGCGGCTTTGAAGAAGCCAGATGATATAAGGGTCCTTCTAGTCTGATGTGGAAACCTCCACAAAGAGAGCAGGGGACCCAGGGTAAAATGTTTTAGTAAGTAGCTTTGTTGATATGAGAATTGTGCTCTCTTCGAGATGCCAAGCAGAGGGAGACAGGTTGGGATATCCACACATGGACTACACTCACTGAAGGAGAAAAAATCTTAATGGGGTTATGGGGCTACATAAGCAGGTGAAATCTCATTGGTGTTCCCCACTAGAGTGTCTTGCGATCAGTGTACCTTCCTTTGTGGATAAACATGTAATCCTTTGTTTAGTAATGATGGAAGACAACACAGTCCCAGGCAACCTGCTAGGTGCCCTGTCCTGGAATGAGCAGAGTCTTGTGGGACTCTGGGATCTTCAGTGATGACAAATGGTACCCTGTAATCTTGTCTGCCAATCTGATCAGAGAACATTTGTCCTTAGAGACCTGTTTTTTGTTTTTTTTTTTTTTTTGGTTTTTCGAGACAGGGTTTCTCTGTGGTTTTGGAGCCTGTCCTGGAACTAGCTCTGTAGACCAGGCTGGTCTCGAACTCACAGAGATCCGCCTGCCTCTGCCTCCCGAGTGCTGGGATTAAAGGCGTGCGCCACCACCGCCCGGCTTAGAGACCTGTTTTATGTCACTGCATTCAACAGAAACTACTGAGAAAGCCAGTGTTCAAACACAGCTAAAATGCCATCACCTTGTACACAGTTGCCCCTGTATGCGCCAGGCCATAGGATCCTGGTCTGTGGGCTCTTCTTTATATCCCATTTGATCAGTGTGGATATGCCCATTTTTTTCACAAGAAAAAGCTGCTGTTATAAGAGATGATGTCACCTCCCAAAAAGGAAACAGATTGTGCTTCTTTGCCAGCTGTCCCTCCTGGCAGCAACGGTTCATGCTGCTCTGACCTTCAGAGTATTCGCTCCATCCATCCTCTTCCACATTGTTGGTCTGACTTATAGATCAACCAGGCTCTGACAGGGGAAGGAAGAGGCAAAGGGGCAGTGTGGGAAATCAAAACAGAGGAATCTATACATAGAGGAGATTCTGTTTAAAAGTCATTTCAACTTGGATCCAACGGGTCTCGATGGAGCTGGATTAGGACTGTGATTTTATTTTCTCCTGATGATGGACAAGTTAGAGCAGGCAGGTCTTAGTGGCCCCGCAGGTAACAGGGGGTCATGGTCTCTGCTTCCTATCTACAGAAGCATGCGCTTGGACATTACCTAGTGTTGACAGATCACGCCAATCCCTGCAATCCTTATTTCCAAGATACTTAGATACCATGAGCAGTTTATATTTGCTATTTGAGAAAATTACTTTCTTTTCTAAGATCATTGTTTTTCAATGAAGCTTATATTGGTTACTCTTCCTTTGCTATGATAAAACATCACCATCAAGACAACTTATAAAGGAATGAATTCATTTCAGCTTACAGTCCCAGGTTAGATTCCAGCATAGTGGTGGGGTCAGCATGGCAGCAAGCATCAGGTCTGGTTACTGGAGCAGGAATCTAAGAGTTCATACCCTCAACCATAACTGCAAATCAAAGAGAGAGAGAGAAAAAAAAACACTGAATGTTGGTGAGGGTTTTTACTTCTAAAGCCTAATTCCAGTGACGTTTTTCCTCTAGCAAGGCCATACCTTCTAAACCTCCCCACACAGTGGCAACATTTGGGATCACATGTTCAAAAGCCACTGCCTATGGGTAACAATTCTCATTCAGCCTCCCAGTTCATGAGGGTCCATTATTACAACTGATGGATAGACAGATTGAGAGACACAGACGTCTCTTTGGAATATCGTCATTACTGTTAGGCTATTTACAATCTTGTCACCTCTCAAAGACCAGTATCTTCAAGTGGTATCTCACTGATGTTTATGTTTTAACCTATGAATTTGGGATAAACACAAGCATTAAATTCCCAATAATGAAATACCAAGGCACTGTCCTCTAATTTTAGGGCATTAGTCTATATCTTACTTATTCTAGAATTTTTCTTGGTCACTAAGAAAAACACATTTAAAATGCTTTGGAAACTACTGAGTATGTCTTGTAGATATTATTATGAATAGCAATCATTGATTTGCATGAACTTTAACATTGTTTATCTTTAACTAATTGCATGCTTTTTCACTCAAAAGTTTATGTGGCCAAGCATTTATAGGCATGTACCTATTTCATGCACTAGATGACCCTGCAGAATGGATGCAGATAGGGTCTCTTAACCTTACTGTTTACTTGAATTAAGCTTAGTATTGAATTTAGGGATTATAAAATAGAAAACACCTAAGCTCCTACATAATTTGGTTCATCAAAGTGCTTGTCAGCAGTACAATGAGAAGGTGACATTTGCAGTCCTCAGATCAAACAAGATATAGCAGCATTTGGTGGGGATGCTGTGAAGTTACAGGGTCTTTGTAGAAAGAGGGCAACCTCCTCTAGTTACTCATCATGCTCTGTTTCCTGGATGGAGGTAAAAGAACTCATAGAATCGACCTGTGATCAGGTGAGGAATTTTGCAGGCACTAACTTCCTGGTGGGAATACTGCCCACAGCAAGAGTTACTTTGCCAAAGTCATGAGGTGTATAAGACATTGAACAAGGTTCTCTTGAGAGACAATTTACACCAGTGAACACAGATGTTCCCCTGGCGGGGACTCATTTACTTGTGATCTTAAGCTTTGGAAACTTGAATGCGGGTTTGAGTCCTAGTATCCCCAAGTCCAGAAAGAAACCTGATGGGATTGTGTTTTCAGGATAGTGTAGAAGTTCATGGCCTCCTACTAATTTCCTTCCTGTTTGCAGAGAGCAGCAGCCTGCATTCAGCCTGTGTCCATGAGAGTGCCGTGCATAGCCGAATCTTCCAGATCTTATACAGGAATGAAGAAGTTCCCGTAAATGATGCCATGCTCTTCCGGGCTCATTTGCTCTTAGATGGTGAGAGGGTAAGTCTTGATCTCCTGCCAATTGCAAAAGGTTTTCTTTCCTGGCTAACTATTCCCTTTCATTGCTGGATTCAGGGTGAGTGAAGAAGCTACAGATTGATTCTGAGATCTGGTAAGAATTTATGGATCCTATATTCACCTGTTTCTAACGGCTTTTTCTCTTCTTCTCATCACACACATGATCATTCCATGAAATCTTGATCATTTGCCATCGCTCCTTCTTGCTCTAGTGTATCTCTGCTCAGGCATATTGTTCAGGAATCTCTCAGCAGGTGGTTTGGATTATCTGCTCTTTACAAACTTGGGGTTAGGATAAGACACAGAAGTGAAGAAGGTTCCAAACTCTGTTGACTTCAAGGGGCTAATAGCTCAGTGAGCAAGCAAATTTATAAGCATGTGTCTTGCTTAGCAAAACTTGCCATAGCTGGGAGGAAATCAAGAGGCTCCATGGATGGAGAAAGAATTTTGGGATGACCAATCTAGAGCTAGAACAGTTCACAGAGGAGTGCCCTTTAAGGAGCACGTACTGGATGGAATTCATCAGACAGAGAAGAGGGAGAACCCTTTCCTACAGAGAGGGGGAAAGCCAGAGTAAGTTTAGAGGCCTTGGCACATTGTTTGCTTCGATTGGAGCTTGAATAAAATATTTTCATTTGCTAAATGAATATATTTTCAAGGTCTCTGGACTATTGTTCTTGTTCCCACAGTCAATAGCTTGAATCTTTGTTCCCACATTCTGGCTGTTTATTTCACAATGGAGGCATGTATGATGTGAAGAATGCCTCTACTTTAAACAAACTTAAGAGCACTTCTGCTCACCCATGGCTGGTCCTTGCTGTACAACAGACTCCCATTGAGTTCCTGTACTCCAGCTATTGGCTTCCTGTACACATCTTTTTGTGCTCTATGTAGGGAGGCTAGTCCTGATTTGCTACTCTTTCTTTATTAATTAACTCATGCATCTCTTCAGCCAAGGCTTTCTAAGTACTCACTAAGTCTGTACTATATGCTGGAGAGAAAGTAGCAAGTGGGAGACTCTGCTAGGAGTTTTGGCACTACTGTTTACCTGTTAGATAAATGTATTGGCTCTCAGGCATTATTCCACTTCAATGGTAGCAAGAAATGTTTCAACTAATCATTATATCCAGAGCTAAAGTGAATAAGACCTATCTGAAAAATTACATTTGTGATTAGCATATGAACATACTAGTTCGTTTCGAACGCATATCAATGGATTTATGGAAATCAAACTGCTACTTATTGCCCGAGCAGATAATGTATTCATAGATGCAGGTTGCAATATCATGTACAACACACATTTGGATAATGGGTGACTAGCCAACAAGCACATTATGGAAGAGAAGATGCAGTCTCTACATTGAGGCCAAGGATGTGAACCAGAACTGAGTACAGAGAGAACTAACTAGAAGCTAAGGAATCTGATGGGATGTTTTACAGTAAACACAGAGAGTCCCTCTGGAGGTCCTCTGGATATTTTGTTCATATTTGCTGTAGTGACATACAAGATTTAGGTGTACATAAAATATATAGAGAATAATAAGAGGGAGCCACAGTAGAATGAGCTAGATAAGATAAACATAGAAAGGGAAGGAAAAGCATTCTCAAGATAAATATACCAGAAAAATATGCATGAGTATCTTCTGCACTTAATGGCAGTTCACATGTGGAGGGCCAAGTTTTCAGCAGTCAAGGCAAAGAAGATGTACAGATTAACAAGAGGATACTTAGCTCTGTGAAAAAGGAGAGAAAGCGATTACAGCAGAGAGGGATAGTGAACAAAATTGCATTAGATAGCAGTGGTTCTCAGCCTGTGCTTTGTGACTCTTTCGGGAGTGGGGGAGGAGCAAATGACCCATTCATAGGGGTCTTTTAAGACTATCAAGAAAACACAGATATTTACATTACAGTTTCTGACTGTCACAAAATTATAGTTGTGAAGTAGCAATGGAAAAATATTTACGATTGAGGGTCACCACAACATGAGGAACTGTATTAAAGGGTCATGGCATTAAAAAGGTGGAGAACCACTCTTTTATAGAAATAGAAATTCTCTAAAGGGAGATTCTTTTGTACACCCATAGAACAGAAGCTTGGAAATGCTCGTGCAAAGTTCTAGTTCCCAAGCCCATCACAGACCTAGTGCTTCAGAGACTACGAGGGTAGAAATGAGTTGATTCAGAGGTTGAGCAAGTCCCTCTTGGGTACCTTTCCATGGGAAACACTTGGAAGCTTTAGGACCCAGGGCAGCAGTACACTGGAAAGTGGCAGACCAGTCAAGGACAAATTTAGCGAAGCAAGGGATGGGGTGGGGAATCTTATCCAGTGGCACAGGGAGTACACAAAGGTGAACCTGGAAAAGAAGTTTCAGGATATAATATAGGAAACCATCGTCATCTCACTGAATGCAGCGTAATTGCCATGTTCTAGAGCCGTGGTTCTCAGTCTGTGGTTGTGACTCCTAAAAGGTTCAAATATCAGAAATCCTGCATAGCAGATGTTTACATTACAGTTTATAACAATGCCTAAATTACAGTTATGAAGTAGCAAAGAAACAATTTTATGGTTTGGTGCCACCATATGAGGAATTGTCTTAAAGGGCTGTAGCATTAAAAAAGTTGAGAACCACTGTTCTTATGGTTTCATTCAGAAGGAAGAGGAATGAGACCGACCAAGGTATAAGTATTGGAAACGAGAGCAAGGACACGAAGGTGGTTGCTGCTGTTTCCTATGTGGGTATTGGTGAGCCTGAAGACACATAGGGACAGCTGAACAGAAACAGAGGAAGTCAGTAGTCAAGCCATTTGATAGCCGAGGTAGCCCAGAGAACAGAGCTCAGTTATACCCAGGGGGTGGAGGACTCCATGCAGATAAAACAGTCTGTAAAAAATAGACTGAAAGAGTGGAACATGCCCCTTCTGGTTTCTACAATCCTTCCTCCCTCTCTTCAGCCGAATTCCCCAAGCTATGGCTAATGTTTGGCTATGGGTCTGTGCATCTGCTTCCATCAGTTACTGGATGAAGGCTCTCAATTGCAGTAGTCGCCAGTCTGATCACAGGGCATGGCTGGTTCAGGCTATGTATTCACTATTGCTAGGAGTCTTAACTGGGCCATCGTTGAGATTAGTGGGAGTTTCCCTTGCCCCAGGTTTTTACCTGAGCCTGAAATGCCCTCTTCCAGTCATTTCTTTCAGTATTCTCCACCCCATCCATTCTCCAAACCAGATGCCCAATTTCCCATCTGCACCTGCCCCCAGTACACCCAGGAGTTATCTTCTGCTTCCTTTTTCCAGGGAGATCCATGGGTCCCCTCTTGGCCTTTTCTTTTTCCATAGCCTCGCTAGATATGTGGATTTTTAGCATGATTATAATTTACAACTAATACCCACTTATTCATAAGTACATACCATGTTTGTCTTTCTCAGTCTGAATTACTTCATTCAGAATATTTTTTTCTATTTCCATCTCTTCTCTTTCAATTTTCTGATGTCATTGTTTTTAAAGCTGATTAATACTCCATTGTATAGATGTACCATATTTTTTATCCATTCGTCATTGACATCCTGGTTGTTTCCAGTTTCTGACTATTATGAATAAAGCTGCTATAAACATTTTTGAGCAAGGACATTACACAAAACCCCCCCAAAAAACAACTAACTTGGCTCATAGGAATTTACAATCTATACCAACAACCAGGGAGCCTTTATATAAATGATCTAGGCCCCCCTCCATATGTGTGTGTGTGGCAGTTGTGTAGCTTGGTCTACTGTGGTAAATCTAATAATGGGAGTAAGGGTTATTCCTAATGCTTTGGCTGCCTCTTGGGAACCTATTCCTGATCCTGGAAAGAAAACAGGAAAAGAAAAGGATGAGGAAATTATGGTCAGGATGTTAAATAAACAAACAAACGAAGAGAACAGGGATAGAAGGAACATACCTAAACACAATAAAGGCAATAGACAGCAAGCCAACAGCCAACATCAAACTAAATGGAGAGAAACTCACAGCAACCCCACTGAAATCAGGAACAGGACAAGGTTGTCCACTCTCTCCATATCTATTCAATATAGTTCTTGAGGTCCTAGCTAGAGCAATAAGACAACAAAAGGAAATCAAGGGGATACAAATCAGAAAAGAAGAAGTCAAACTCACACTATTTGCTGATGATATGATAGTATATATAAGCGACCCCAAAAATTCTACAAAGGAATTTCTACAACTCATAAACTCTTTCAGTAATGTAGCAGGATATAAGATTAACTCAAAAAAAAAAAACCTCAGTAGCCCTCCTGTACATAGATGATAAAAGGGCTGGGAAAGAATCAGAGAAACAACACCCTTCACAATATCCACAAATAGCATAAAATATCCCAGAGTAACTCTAACCAAACTAGTGGAAGACTCGTATGACAAGAACTTTAAATCTTTGAAGAAATAAATTGAAGAAGACACCAGAAAGTGAAAAAAATCTCCCATGCTCTTGGGTAGGCAGAATTAACATAGTAAAAATGGCAATCTTACCAAAAGCAATCTACAGATTCAATACAATGCTCATCAAAATCCCAGCAAAATTCTTCACAGACCTCGAAAGAATGGTACTTAACTTCATATGGAAAAGCAAAAACAAACAAACAAAAAAAAAACCCGGACAGTCAAAAAAATTTCTGTACAATAAGAGAACTTCTGGGGGCATCACAGTCTTTGACTTTAAACTCTACTACAGAGCTACAGTACTGAAAACAGCCTGGTATTGGCATAAAAACAGACAGGAGGACCAATGGAACCAAATAGAAGACTCGGATATTAATCCACACACCTTCGAACACCTGATTGTTGACAAAGAAGCAAAAAAGTATCAAATGATAAAAAGAAAGCATATTTAACATTGGTGCTGGCATAACTGGATATCAACATGTAGAATAATGAAAATAGACCCATATCTATCTCCATGCATAAAACTCAAGTTCAAATGCATCAAAGACCTCAACATAAAGCCAGCCACACTGAACCTCACAGAAGAGAAAATGGGAAGTACACTTGAACACACTGGCACAGGAGACCACTTCCTAAATATAACCCCAGCAGCACAGACACTGAGAGAAACAATTAATAAATGGGACCTGAAACTGGAAAGCTTCTGTAAAGCAAAGGACATGGTCAACAAGACAAAAATGACAGCTTACAGAATGGGAAAAGATCTTCACCAACCCCACATCAGACAAAGGTCTGATGTCCAAAATATACAAAGAACTTAAGAAATTGTCCATCAAAAGAACAAATAATACAATAAAAAATGGAGTACAGACCTAAACAGAGAATGTTCAACAGAGGAATCTCCAATGGCTGAAAGATACTTAAGGAAATGCTCAACATCCTTAGTCATCAGAGAAATGCAAATCAAAACATCTCTGAGATTCTATCTTACACCTGTTAAAATGACCAAGATCAAAAACACTGATGACAACTTATGCTAGAGAGGTTGTGGGGAAAAGGGAACACTTCTGCATTGCTGGTGGGAATGCAAGCTGGTGCAACCCCTTTGGATGTCAGTGTGGCAATTTCTCAGAAAATTAGAAAACAACCTTCCTCAAGACCCAATAATACCACTTTTGGGTATATATCCAAAGGATGTTCAATCGTGCCACAAGGACATGTGCTCAACTATGTTCCTAGCAGCATTGTTTGTCATCGCCAGAACCTGGAAGCAATCTAAATGCCCCTTGACTGAAGAATGCATAAGGAAAATGTGGTATATTTACACAATGGAGTACTACACAGCAGACAAAACAATGACATCTTGAAATTTGCAGGCAAATGGATAGAGCTAGAAAATATCATTTTGAGTGAGGTAACCCAGACCCAGAAAGACAATTATCACACGTATTCACTTATCATTTTTTAAACATAAAGCAAAGAAAACCAGCCTACAAGTCACAATCCCAGAGAATCTAGACAACAATGAGGACCCTAAGAGAGATGTACATGGATCTAATCTACATGGGAAGTAGAAAAAGACAAGATCTCCTGAGTAAATTGGGAGCATGGAGACCTGGGGAGAGGGTTGACAAGGAGGGAGAAGCAGAGAGAGCAACAGAGAAAAATGTAAAGCTCAATAAAAATCATTAAAAACTAACTAACTAACTAATTAACTAACTAACAACTAACAGAGTATGTCATATTCCTGGAGATACAAGTGATAGTCTAATGTAGTTGAGGGAAGCAAAACTTCTATGAATAGTGATAGGACCTTAATCTAATCATCATATCCATCCACTGATCTTATCAGCAGTAACACTTCTTATTTGTTACATTAATTCCACTGGATTTTTTTGCTGAGTGCTTTGTAGTATCTCATTGCGTTATTGCAGTGTAGTGATGGGCTTTCTCAGCTTCCTTTGATGAATAAGGATGCAGAGATTTAGAGCTGAGATTTGTCTCCATCACATCACTAAGGTGTGGTAAAGACATGGTTTAAATATGGAATTTAAGGCATGTATTTTCAAAGAACATTCAGGTCCACCATGCAGATGTGGTGGGATAAGGGGATCCTCAAACTCAGTAGTAAAGTAAAAATAACAAAAACCATAATACATTGCATTATTTGAAATTGGTCAACCCCTTTTTTACACTTTCTTATATAGCTACTTACTATAATGTTATAGAGTTAGTAGGATTATTTTATGAATGGAAAACAACTAGATTTAGGATTTGCATTCATGCATTCTGACTTTAGAAGCTGCCTTCTCAGCCTCAAGGCTGCAGTGGACCTGGGGAGGGGGGAAGAGAAGAGTCATTGTGATAAGCATTGAGGTGTAGGTATCTTGCAAGTATAATATGTAGGCTTTTATAAACATGTATGTGTAGGTATCTTGAAAGTAGGATTTATCAAGGAACCAGTGAAAGTCATAATTAGGCTCAGTCTATCTTCAATTCCCAGAGAATTGTGACCACCAAATCTGGTGCTCAGACGTTCTCCGTATCCAGACAAATGATTTCTCAGAAGGTAGTAGTAGTATTACTTCTCCAGTCTTATTTCCAGGGAACAGGTAGTGAGAGCCTGTACTCCTTTGATTGAATACAAAGCTAGATTTTTGGTGATGCAAAAAAATCCCTAAGTTATTTATAGCATTTGAATTCAGCAAAAATGTTGGTGTAATATTGAGTTGGAAGTGTGACCTCAGCTTGCCAAGAGCTTGAACTCCAATTCCCAGCCTGCCAAGTGCTTGAACTCTAACTCCCAGCCTGCCAAACACTGACCCCTCCCCTGGAAGGGTCAGGATCACTCCCACAGGGTATTTAGGGTCACAGGAACAAGGAATGTGTGCTTTAGGGTTTGTGTGTGCACTCCCCCTGTCTTCCCTCTGCCATGCTCCCGGCCACTCGGGCATTTAATTTGGCTTAATCTGGTTTGATTGGAATTCTTCACACCGGGGGAGAGGCTCTGTTAGAAAATACTTTTAAGTATTCTTTTAAAAAGTATCATTTTGAATACCACAAAGGCCTAAAGATAAATTCTATCCCCATGTCTCTGCTTGAATTGTGTTTAATTAAGAAGCTATTTCCAAAGAAGCCTTTGGATAGGCAATGTCTGTCTCTGTGGGATAAGGGTATTTTTGCAAAATAATAATAATATTAGCAACAACAACAACCAAAACAGGTGACTGTGGGAGAAGAGTTTTATTCCTCAGAGATGCATTGTTGCTATCTCTCCGCCTATACACTGTTCCTGAAAGCTGGAGCCCACAACCAATGAGGACTGAGGGGATTAGTGGGAACACATGGCAAGAAAGTAGCCAGGGCGTTTGGCCTCAAGTGGCAGAGTACTGTCACTGAGTGTGGTAAACCAGTGGTGTTTGCAGGATTTGTCTGACCCAAGCAGAGCTAACACATGTTAACCCTGCCTTGCCAACTCCAAGGGATGTTTTGCTTTTCTTCCCTAGAAGCTATAAACCCATAGTATGAATATGAATGTGAAATTACCTGAATTTTCAGCATTTGAAACTTGTTCAAACATTTTAAGAAATACTATGGGAACTAAAGTAGACATGCCTGGAGATGAATTTTGGCTTATGGGATTCCAATTTATGAGCTCAGAACAAGCTATTGTGACCCGAAATGCTGAATGCGAAGAGGGAAAGGAAGTGGCTCTCTGCGAGTTGCCTAGGAGGGCTTCAGCCAATCAGAGAGCAAACAGGAGTCTAAGCCCTGTGCCACGGGACAGTCCTGACACTGAATGAATCCACAGAGCACAGATAATGAAGACTAGGGCATAGTACACAATTCCCCTATAAATATGAAAAGGGAGACCTGGGGACCTCATTTGGGGGGCACATGTGAAAAGAACTGTTTTATTACTTATTTTTGCACATAAAGGACATTGAAGGAAGGAGAATTTAAGATTTACCATAGATGAAAGTTGGAAGAGCTTGAGTCACCTTGGACATCAATGACTTAACCACCCAGATTGCCAGACTCCCCCCGTTAATGTGTGGGCAGTGATGTGTGTCATGTGGGGACATTTGAGTCTAAGTGGTGACTTCATGCATCTTTGGACAAGTTTGCTGCGCTGGAAGTTCACCATTCTTCCCAGAGGAGGTGCGATGCAGTCTTTCACCCATGCCTGGAATCCATGTCAAATTCGTTTGACAATGAGGCAACATGCTTAAAAGCTTCATCTTTATTTTCCAGGTCCTGTGATAAAAATAAGCTGATAAAAGCAAGTTAAGGGAGAAGGGATTCATCCCAACTTACATTTCAAACACAGAGCCTTGTGGCAGGAGAGTCAAGGTTGTAGATGCTTGTAGCAGTTGGTTACCTGGCATCCACAAACAGGAAGCAGAGAACAATCACAATATGCAAATGGAGAAGCTCAGCCTGCTTCTCCATTTCTTGTAGTTCAGGACACCTAACCAGAGAAAGTCCCATCTAAACCTTAAGAAGGGTCTTCCCGCATTATTTAACCAGGTCTGTCGCTCATATGCATGCTCAGAGGCTGAGCAATCCCTCATAGATATGTCTGGAGCCTTATCTCTGAGGTGACTCTCTATTTCATCAAGTTGACCAGGGTGATGATGCATTACAAGGATGCTTGTTTAATAATGGTTGAAAATATACTTTTACCAAGCTGGCTGTATAAATCCTTTGCTTTCATTTTCCATCCAATATTCCTATTCTAAGAGTTTGCTTTTCCAGAACACCTTGTCTCGTGCATAGATATTCTCACTATGCATCAGTGGCACCTGATAGTGAGATTCTGTTTCTCCTCCTTGAGAACCAGTCCACTAAATGACCCAATTGGATTACTAGTTGACTGCTGAACTCTCTTGGTCTTTGTCTTTCAGGTAGAAGATGCGCTGAGTGAGGTCGAGTTTCAGCTCAAGGTGGACCTGCACTTTACGGACAGTGAGCAGCAGCAGTGAGTGTCATGGACGTCTTTGGTCTGTGTAGGGAGGTTTCTTCCTTTACCCCATACCTCACCCTTAGGTCTTCCTCAATGCTAGAATCCTCATAATTTCTCTGGAATAACTAGTTACTACTAATCTGAAATGTCCCTCAGATGTTCCAATTTACCAGGAATATGGGACAGACATTTTATTAGTCAAGGAACAGTTCTGATAGCATCACACACACACACACACACACACACACACACACATGTGCGCGCACACATACATAAACACACATGCACACACACACACACACACACACACACACACAAGATTTATTAGATTGACTTTTGTGGTCTGGTCCACCTAGTCCAGCAATGGCTGACTCGTGCTAGAGTGGCCAAGAATCCAGTAGTTGCTAAGTCCATGATGCTGAATGTCTCTGCAGTCCCAGTCTGGTGCTGAAGTTCTGTGGGGGGACCTGGGAGCTTGCTGGAGAGATGCTGATCTTCAGTCTACATTAGGATCCAAAGGAAGCTGGGAGAAGTTGGTGTGATTACCAGGGAAAGAATGATGCAGCAAAGGAATCGCTAGACTTGCCAGCAAGAGTGAGAGCAAGTAGGCAAAAACCCTAGTTCCCCTCTTCCATGTCTCTTTTATGTAGCTGCTGCCAGATTTAAGGTGGGTCTTCCTGCTGCAAATAAACTTATCAAGAAAATCACTCACAGGGGTGCCCAGCTGCTCCGGTTTTAACTGATTCTAGATGCTGTCAAGTTGACAGCTGTGATTTGCCATCACAGCATGTCTGCCAGAGCCTGGAAAAGCTCACTCATTTGGAACCAGGCTGCTCGGGTTCTGCACACAGAAAACTGTTGGCTTCTTGCCTTATTAATTGATATCTTTTACTTAAAGCATTTTTTCTATGTTGTACTGACATGGGAGTTTTAGAGTAATGTCTGCATGTACGAGACAACCAAAACCCCCTTCAAATCATCCTTCCTGGTTTTCCATGTGTTCATACTGAACATCTGCTATTGTCCTTCAACTCTGTGTGAACTGAAAATCTATTTATGTAAAACTTGCCAAGGAAATAGTCAGGGAGCAGTTCTCTTCCTTTGCTTAACTGCTTCCTTCAAATGTGCTCCGTGCCCTCTTCCCTCTATCCTGGGCTGCGCTATTTGCCTCTTAAGCCTTCCCGCATTCTTTCAGGAATTACATAAACAATCTTTCTCTGAGGTATTAAAAAGTGTGACACCAAAACCTTGAAACCATCTCACTTAAGGTTTATTTCCCACTCGTTCGGGCCCTTTAAGCACTCATCTCATTTAAGGGTTATTTCCACTCAGTCAGGAGGTTCTCAAAATCCCAAAAGGGAGATGGAGGCTTTGTATTCCTTTCTTAGCTTGCTTTGCCCCTACCTCTGTGGTTTGTAGATCAGACATGATGAGTAAGGAAGATACAGTAAAAGGCTGGGGAGTCATTTGAGTGCAGGTAAGGAGTGTCCTTTCTAGGGTAAATGCTCAGTCATCATTAGGGTTCTTGTGAGTTACTTGCTGGCATGACCATTATGCACACCTCCTCCCCAACTCTGCCCCATCCTTGAAGTCTGTTGATAAACTCCAGCCTCTTCTAGGAAAATATTTGTGGCTGATCCTTTCCATAGAATCCACATGTGGTCCATGGGGGCTGTGTAAAGTTATTTTAATCCCCTTCCTAAAATTGTGGGAGCTATTCCGTACAGATTGCTTTCCCATCAAAGCCATTCAAACCCAGCTATTATCCAGATAGATTGTGCAGAATAAATCAGGCACCAGGACTCTACATCCACAGCTCTAAGGTGCAGAGGCAGTTACCCCCTCAGAACTCCTTCTTTGGTTTCTATCTTATTAGAAGGATCTCCCATTCTCTTGATGTAGGACAAATCTGTGTAATTTTCCAAATTTCAGTAGTGTATAAAATGGGCATCAGGATTTGAAACATTCTTAAGAGGGATAGATGTTTTTATTTATTTTTTTCACTTTTCATAGCAGTGTATAGAAAACAAACAAAAAGGGATGAAATGGGAGGCTGTTGTTTCACCAGAGTTAGACAGGCTGTGAAGTCCCTCTTATATATCAGTAGGAAAATGAGGTCTCAAGGCTTTGACCATGTCATGTTACTGAAGGTAACAATGATGCTGACTCTAGTGCATGGAAAAAAGAGGTGCTACTAAATAGTACAACACGTAGGACAGCTCTGTTTCCACCAAAGCTTATTCAGTCCCCAAAGTCAGTATTAATGAGAGAGTCACATACTCGGAACCACAATCCTATCTATACTCTCTGATTTCAAATGGTCCATGAGTACCTGCTTGTACAGGGTCCCAACACTCACCCCCACACAGCCCTGCCAGTCTCTGCACAGCTCAGCCGATAGGAAATTCTTTAATACTTAAAGGGGCGATTCATCTTCCTGTGGGTTCTCTCAGTTGGCCTTAATTTTATTCCTTCCAAGTGTGCATAATAATTCTGTCTAGAGGGCTGTTCTTTCTGTGAGATAGCAGATTTGCTGCTGTTTATTTTGTTTGCTTAGCTCCTTTATAAGAATCCCAGACATTCTACTGCCTCATCTACCAAAAATCACCTGCATCTTCTCTACTCTGAGATTCTCTAGGAAGTGGGCTTCTTCTCCATAAGGGTCCATTTCAGAACACCAAAAAGTGATCTCTTCTCTTCTTACATCTTCTGAAGGAGGCTTGGGTTGTTCTCCCTGTCAGGAGTCAATGTCTAAGTGAGCACAAAGCAATACTGTGCAGTAACAGCACAGAGGAGAGTCAGAGACTACTGGTCTGGCATGGCAGGTTTTTCTCATGACTGTGAACAAGTTAAATAAGTCACATTAGTTTCATTTGTTCTTTTATGAATAGAATAAGATTAGCAAGTGTGTTATATGCTTGTCTTACAGGGGAAAGCAGAAGGTCCAGTCCACAGTTAAGATTCAGATCATTGTTGTCCATATAAAAGTGAGCATGAAGGCTGACAGTTGCTGACACCCACAGCTTGGATTCTCTGCCTTTCTTTATCTGGGTTCATCCTGGTTAAAGCAAAGAATGTGTTACACATAGTCACAATGGGCACCAGGGGACAGCAAAGACCACAAGGAAAGACTGACACTGGGTCGGGCTGTGGGAGCCTTCACTGTCTCCCTTCCCTCTCTGTAATCTATTTGCTTATCTATGGAGGAAGAAGAGATCCTCTTTCTTGTGTTCCTGGAAAATGCTCATAGTGACTTTCCTCGAGTTCTGGCTCTCTGCAACCTGCAGAGCCACAGAGACTGTTTTTCAGCAATTTTGTCTAGACAAACATTATTCTCCCTTTTTGTGTCTTCTGGGTTTGTCTGTCTGTGGCCTGTATCTTAAGATTGGGTATGCATTGATTACAAAGTGCTAGAGCAAAGGAAAGGGACCGCTTCCTGAAACTGGTCATACTGCTTCAGCAGCGTGTTCTGGGTGTTTGTTCATTCAGTCAATCAGTTGACATTTTCATAACCATGGGCTTGATCACTTTCTCCATCATGTCTGTACCGGTGAGATGCCAGAGATGTAAATGTGAGTTAGTCACCGCTGCTGCCCTTAGAGGCTAGAGATCCCGCACAATTCACAACCTCACAAAATCTGCTCAGTATTTTAAGAGCACTGTTCATCCTATGGGGGTGAAACAAGGGGGAAGTGTCCAAGAGATTTGTAGCCATGAGAGGAGCCTTGGAAAGATATGACCATCTTTACCATCTCTGAGCTTCAGGTTTACCTGCAGCAACAGAAGAACTGAGACCCAGAGTTGTTCTGTAGCCTTCATTCTTCATTTACCAACTGTGGGACAAATTCTTTCAGCCAGGCGCCGCATATTGCAGGATTGAGTAAGATGATGAGACTATTAGGTGGAGCTACTTGAGTGACAGCATGGCCAACCAACCACGCTCACATGAGCTCACTCACTTGCCTTCCAGGCTGAGAGATGTGACCGGAACACCGATGATCAGCAGTCGCACGCTTGGCCTGCATTTTCACCCCCGGAGGGGTCTGCACCACCAAGTCCCTGTCATGTTTGACTACTTCCACCTGTCGGTGATCTCTGTGACCATCCACGCTGCCCTAGTGGCTTTGCAGCAACCTTTGATCAGGTATGAAGTTAGATGTTAATTCATCCCATGCATCACGGAGAGACACAGCTTATCATAAGTGTTCAGCACACACCAGAGAAGGTGGCCCATGGTTGCTGACTTAAGCTTGGGTCTTCAGCTGGCCCACAGAAGTAGTAGGCGAAAGCTTGGGACAGCCTCAGCATCACAGAGGACATTGGGGAATTTTTTTTGGGGGGGGATAATGTATAAACTGGAGCTCACCCCTCATGGATTTGGATTCTTCCCTTGGCCTCACTTGTCTCTAGCTGTGCCTTGAGAAGGTCCTTGTGTTTCTGAGCTACATAATCCCTGTGTGTAAAATAAGAACACCGATTTCTATATAAAACTTTTTGAAATGTTTAAAATTCATTTGATATTTTGGGGTATCTATAAGGTTTCCAGCACTTTATTATCTAATATTCAATTTAAGCTTAAATAATTCATTCCTTAACACCTTCATATGTGTATAAAATGCACATTATTCTTACTCCCACCTTTCTTCTCACCTTCTCACTCTGTCAACCTCCTTTCTTCCTTATGAGTTCCTTTAACACAATCATGTCTTTTGTTATTTTGTGACCCACTGAGTTTAACGAGGGCCATTCGTGGAACATTTTAGTGAATCCCAGAGGAGGCCAGGGCTAGTACATAGCTGGCATCCAAATCTCTTCCTTCCCCCAGTCACTGTTTGCTCAAATGCAAGTCTGCTTGTAAGATCGTTTGCCTTTGCCCTTCATCGACTCACCCTATGGCATCTCCAAGGTGCAGAAGTGAACTTGGGTTTCATTAGTTCTACAAAGGAAGGGAGAGAGCTCATAAGAGTGATTGTAGTGGGCCATGCATGGCCATCTGTCATGGTCTCAGATGGCTGACTATGTCCATTTAGACAATTTTAAACAGGGAGAGTAAACAGTTGCACATGTGTACAATGAGGAATTTGGGGTATATTCTTGTAACCCAGAGGAAAGAAAATTGTCCAATGTCTGTGTTCTAGACAGTTTCTATGAGTTTGCATGCATGTGTATGAGAATAAGCAGAATCCTTGCTGATTTCTTTGTCCATAACCTAAAAGGTCTGTTGTCTGTTAGAGTCTGGGAATAGAAAATGATATATGATGTCTTCCTTGACCCAGTTTTATTCATCTGTGGATGGACAACTGGGTCATTTTCGATTCTGAATGAGACTGATAGAGATACTGGATATGTGTTGATTGACTAGGATGGAAAGCATTGCCCAACAAGAAAGTAAATTGGCTATTGGCTAAGGTGAAGTGATTTGAGAAGGCAGAACTGATTATCATGGCACAAGTTTGGGGAAGTGTTAGTGCTTAGCTATGGAAATGCCTGCACAGGAATTAAATCAGAGCACATAGCAAGGAGAAGCAAGAATGGGGAAGTAAGAGAGACAGACAGTTGGTTAGCAACAGCTCTGAGCCTGGAGCTAAAAGTCAATGTCAAATAGTTTGTGGTCTTCTATAACTGACTGTGTCTAACATTCTTCTGCCCAAAACTTTGCTGAGCTCTTAGATTGAAGCTGTTCCTACACTGGAGGTCCTGGAATGAGGGGAAAAAGGGACAAGGAAAAAGGGAAAAAGGAAAAGGGGTCTATGGTTTTAATTCTTCACTTCTAATGGGTGTCTATGGGGGCCTGCTGTGCTCCAACAGAAGCATCAGAGTCCACACACAATGAGTCTAAGAGGACCATGTAGGGTCCTTTGGAACACAATTTATAAAAACTCAGGGATAGAAATTGGAGTTCAACCTGAAGACCAGAAAAGCAAAGCAACTAGCCACTGGCTCTTACCTCAACCTCAGTCTAAAAATGGCGATCCTGCCTTTAGCTACTGGGATTAAAGGTGTGTGTTACCACTGCCTGGTCTGTAAGGCTGACCAATAGGGCTTTTTTACTCTTTGATCATCAGGCAACGTGTATTTATTAAAATGCAAGTGGAATGTCATTACAGTCCTCAGCATAGACCTCTTCTTCAGATAGCTGCGTCCAGTGGGTTGAGCTGATGTTTATATGTTGAATTATGTAGGGTGAGTGTTAGAGCAGAATGTTAGAAAAACGTTACAATGTAGGAACATGGGAAAGCAACCATGGCCTTGGAAGCTGCAACACAAGTAGAATCTAGAAAGTAGAAGATTTCAAGTCTCCCTCAGACCATGTTCCCTAGCTGGGTGATTTCCTCTGATCAAGGCTGCTTCAGTGCATGGCTCAGTGTGAAATCTGTGTGCCAAGGGTGAGACAGAGCAGGTGTGCTCTGAGATCAGCAGAGACTGTTCATCTGGAGGCCAGGCAACAACCCAGATGTGAAAGCAAGTGACCCTTCCGGGGCTTCTGGGTCCCAGAGAATAAGCTATTCCCATGCAGCTAGAGTTAGGAATATCTGGCTGCTTAGTTCCTCCATCTACTTTCTAGGGGATCCTTGAATAGTTGATCTCACGCCTCTGGATGCCTGTTTCACCATATAGATACATACATATACATGTGAACATATATTTTTGTGATAATAAACCAACAGATATTATGACTGTACATAATAAAAAATTTGTAGACGGTCCCACATCATGAACATGTGTGTAATAAAGGCTCAGAAGAATTGAAAACTAGCAATTCTGAGATGTACATATTGTACCCCTGGCTATTAAGAGACTCAGTGTCTAGAAGAAATCCAGGTGGTAAGCTTCCAAACTGAGGGGTGTGCAAAGTACTGGCAAGGCCTGAGTCAGGGAGCAGTTTGAAGAATGGGCTTCAGGACTGGGTAGCCCCCAGTGCCAAATCCGAGATTCTACTCTCTAACTCTGTCCACTTGAGCATGCAGGATTCAGGTTCAGTTATCAGCAGACAGTTGGAAGGATTCAATGACAGGACACAGGAAGCCCTTGATTATGCATGCGTCCAGGAGATTAATTTTTGTAAAGCACCCACTGTAGTCTGGGCCACCCATTTGGCACCGATAAGCTCCTGACAAACGGCAGGAAGCTTTATGCACAGGGGTGTGCACCTCTCCTTGTGACTCAGAGAGAAGCTTTACAGAAGACATTGCTCTACCCAGGGGACAAGAGTGTGACAGTGAAAATTGAATTTGGGAAGGTAAATTGGAGTCAGATTTTGGCAGTGTAATTAATGATGCATCCAGGGGTTGGACACGAATTAGTTGAGTATAAAGAGACACTGAAGGCTTATGCCTCAGAACAATCCTCAAGACGTAGCCCTCTCAAACTTCGTCAGGCAGGAGGGTCACTAGTGCAGGCAGGAGGACAACTGAAATGAAAGGTTTCCCAGCACCTGACATCACCTTTCGGCTCTAATGTTGCTAGGGACTCTGATGCTATCTAACCATGGGTTTGGAACCAGGATGTCTTAGAAAGTTTAACCTTTCGGTAGGAGCAAACTCGGCAAGTTTGTCGGCAGCAGCCTTCCAGATGGGAGCAGGCACAGCTGCTGAAGAGTTAAACTTCACAGATGGGGTAAAAATAGAACCGCCTTCCACTCTCTGGGTTTTGCAAGAAGAATTTCTGTCTTGACACATGGTACCTTGGAACAAAGGGAACCCTTTAAGCTTGTGGGAAATACCTGTCAAATCGGGTAAGCAGCAGCTTTTCCAGAAAAGCACGCTCATAGGATCAGTTAGGTCCAACACGGATGCCGCAGCTGGGAAACAGAAATTTCACCTCAAAAGACCCTTAGCCTTTGCTGGGAACGACCAAAGAAAACCTAGTTTTTTTTAATAGTTTTTAATCTTCAAATAGGTAAAGTCAAGTGTCTCCTAGGGGCTCCCTCCAGTAGAGATGCCAACTAAAAGCCATAATTAAATAGCAAGTATTTTCGTCCTTTGTTGGCAGATATCCCAGGGAAGGGGTCATTATTCCTTATGTATACACACTTTTTTCTTCTAGAATGTTCCTACCAGTACCTTCTGGCTGTATAGTAAATTCGCTTTAACATTCAGTTCAATACAAATCCAAAGTCAGATATGGTGAGGCATGTCTATAATCTTAGCACTTAGGAAGTTGGGGAAGGAGAACCAGGAGTTTGGCCAAACTGGTATGTATGTATGTATGTATATATATATCCCTGTCTCAAAAGAACAAAACAAAGCAAAAGCAAATTCAAATATTAGTATTCCATAATACAATTGTCCCACAGTAAGGCAAGACATCTCAGGTACCTAAATACCCAGAAGCTCAAGGCACCTATATTAAATTATAGGTTTTCCTGTAACCTATGTGTGTACTACTCCTACATGCTTTACGTTACCCCCAAATTACTTGTGATGACACTGCAGTTAAAACTGGGGAACTAAATATGATTGGAATCCCGTGAGCCAATGCACACATAGTTATGTAGTTAGTGACCGCGTGACTTTGATCCAATTAGATTCTCAAGAATACTTACCAGCAAATTTTATTCAGTGTCATTGTTTGCTAGACCTTACACTTAAAGCCAACTTTCGCAACTATCAGGAGTCTCCATGATACCCAATGGCTCAAGTGCATTAATCCTTCTGACAGGAGATGACGTAGGAGGTTCAGATCCAGCCCAGGTCCTATTATGTAAGTGGTGTCGCCGCTGGCTAGGAACTCCTGCTAGCGGGTGTAAGTTCCACACTGTTGTGGCTGCCTACTGTGCCACACCACTTCTGTGTACTTAGCCCTTTCACCCACCTCACTTCATACACTTCTCTTCTATGCCCATTGGCTGCTGTGCATCCCCATCATGTTCCAACATAGACTGATTGGTTTGAGTCCCCTTCTAGGCCAATGTGTGCTTACGGTGTAAGTGACACATTACCACTTCGGCATTCTGACACCTCATGCGCTCTCCGGCTTGTGGTATTGGACTAATAATACTTGGATAAATGAATTCAATAAAAATGTAACCTTAACTTTATTTCTCTGCCAATATTGCTACCAGAAGCATGAGTTCCTCGTCTGAAATCTGCCCCCCTTGCGCAAGCACTCAGAGCAAAGATGGTGACATCTGAGGACATTCATGGTAGAGACCATTTTGTTTTGTTTTGTTTTGCCATAAGAGACTCTTAGTCTCTTTGGGAGATTAAGACATACCTACAAAATGGTTAACTATAGAATTTCAAGTGTGTCTAAATAAGCTATTAGATTTTTAATTTCTTTAGAACTTCATACACGAGTACTGTATTTACATTATTTTTCACCCTCTCCCTCCTCTTTCCAACTTCTCCTGTGTCTCCTGTAGTCCTTCTCATATTCATGACCTTTTCTTCTTTAATTATTTATCATTACATTTATATATACACCCGTTGAGTTCGGTTAGTGTTGTTGATAATGTGTTTGTGTGGATGTGTGTGCATGTGTGGGCACGCTTAGGGATGCCCAGTTGGAAAAACTATCAGGTGGCTTATCCCTGCAGAAGAATGGCTTTTTTATTCACTTAGTACATTAGTTGCCCGAAGCTCTTCATTTTGGTTTAGGGCCTTGTGAAATTTCCCAGTGACATGGCAACTGGTATAGTTACTGTGAAAGTCTTGTTTAGGCAGCTGTATTTTTGAGATTTCATGTGTGCAGCTTCCCTGTTAGATCTAGAAGACACGATCTCACATACCATCCTGAATACATAAAATCTCATCTGAGTCAGTAGCGCTTTAATAGCTGATATTTGAAGGAAAGGGAAAACAGTGTAAGCAACTTTATTCTCATTTATTATTGGAGGAAAATCACAAAGTTTAAGGTAGAAGGACTGACCATATACCAAAATATCATAAGGACACACGATCTAGTCACATTCCTAAATCTCCATTGACTCTAGATTGATGATAGCCAGATGACCTGCCAGATGACCTTTGTAATGAATCAGAATTGGACAGAAAAATCCCATGTTTTTTTTCCTCTTGATGAGATTACAGCATTCCCAGATAACATGCAGGAATACTTTGTTGATTACAGCAGTCTAGGACATATCACAGGAGTCTTCCATGGATCGTGGAGATGAACATAGTTTTATGACTTTCACCAAAAGGCAAGTAGAAGCAAGGAGGGACTAAAACTAGAAAGAGCTCATGCAAGGCAATGACCCCTTGAGGGCAGAAGTAGATCTCAAGAGCATGATGAACTTGGCAGGGTGGGCGGTGTCTTCTACTCTGGTCAGGAGTTCCTTCTAGCTGCCTCCCAGAAAGATGATTCTCTAGGACATACCCTCAATAACCTCTCAGTCAGAGGACATACAGGTGTTGGGATACCTCTGTATCTCTGCTGATGCACACATCCAAGAATACTCACCCATAAGATAGTACTGGAAACACAACATCCAGACCCTCCTGCTGGAACACCACTTAAATCTGTACCACAGGCTCCTCCATTGCAGCCCAGAGGGAGCTGATTTAACACATGGTGGCTTACTTACCTCCTGTTTTCTTTTTATTCTTTACAGTTTCACCCGCCCAGGAAGAGGTTCCTGGTTAGGGAAAGGTGGCCTAGACTCAGGACCAGAACAGCCCACTATTTCTCTGGAAAACTTGGTCTTTGGAGCTGGATACTGCAAGCCAACTTCCTCAGAGGTAATGTGTGCATGGGAGCCCATGACCCTGTGACCTGTAGTTCTCACTTTAAAAGAGTGTGTCCTATGAGGTTCCTTGTTCTATCAACTATTTCTTTAGGGTGATCGTTGTTTATTTCTTTCAAGGTCCAATCTTCCTTTGACTTTTCACTAATCTTCTCTTAGATGTTTTCTGAGTGTCAAGCCCTATAACAGACGTCGTGAGTATTCTTCTATGGTCCCTCTTATTTCTAGTCCTTTTGGAGATAAGAGCTCTCTAGAAGCTAGGTGGTGATACTACTGTAAGGTTGTTTCCTTCACACTATGTGGTGATATTAAATGTCTGTTGACATTGGTTTATGCTTGATTTCAAATCCTCGATCCAACTCTTGAATCTCTCTGTATTTCCCTCTCTCCACCTCTACAGCAGCATCAGCAAGAACCACTAATCTCACATGCAGTTATGTACACCCAATTTTGTCCCAAATTAAAGTCTTTTGACTCATACCTGGTCATTAGGTGCTGTTTAGTAAATACATATGACTACCTCTCCATTCCCTTTGCTTCTTCCCAAGAAGGACCTGACATTGCTCTTCTTTCATCACTGTCTGTGTTACTTTTTAACACATGAGGCATTTTGTTAGTGTATTCTTCTGAAATATCCAGGCAGTATTACTCAGAGTTGCCCAGAGACATGGAACCACTAGGAATGATTTCTGCATTGTTGTTGTGAGTTGACTCACAAGATTCTGGAGGCTGAGAAGGCTGCAAATCTGCTTCACCAAGTTGGAGACCAAGGAGAGTTGATGGCAGAGGTCTAGGCCAAGTCGAATTCCAGAAGCTGTATAACATTGTCACTTATGAAGGATAGCCATTTCCTTTGGTATAGTCAGAAACTCAGTGGATTGGCCCTGCCGTGTCACACTGGAGAGGCAGATCTCTTTCCCTCAGGGAGGTCTTTTGTTCAGTTCAAACAGTTCTCAGAGACACCAATCCTGGCAGCTACAACAATGTTTAACCAAACATCTAGCCACCCCATGACCCAGGCAGGGAGACACAAGAAATTTATCATGTTTAAACCAAAGACAGGCATGTGAAAGACTGCCTAGCCAGTTCTGCCACCTTCTGCTACAGAATGTTCTTTGGCCAGACAGTTCAGGATATGAAGGAAAATACCCTGCTCTTCTGTAGTTTCCCCATTTGAGATCTAGTCAGGAGATCCAGTTGCAAATGTGAGCCTAGTCCCATCTCTATCTGGGTTAAGTTGCTACGTCACATGTCTTCATGGTCCTGAGGTCTCCAAAGGGGGACAGCCACAATTTCCCTAAAGGATGGGAAACTGAATCCATAGCAGCGCTTGTTCTCATGCGGGGAGCTGGCGCTGGAGAACAATGAGGACAGAATGATTGTACACGCTCAGTACTTCTGGTACCCACCAAGCTTCCTGGAAGCTAATGTGTTTACCTCCTACACAGGAGCAGCCTCAAATGAGTGAGGGGGAGATGGGACAGCTAAGAGCCTGCCAGCATAACATGGGCCTTTCTCTTACCCCCCTCTGCATCGCCCATGCATTTCAGCATGGCATGAGGTCTGGATAGAAGGCTCCCCATTCCAATGTCTACAGCAGACCTCTTCATCCCTCAGTAGATGTGGTGGTATGTCCCCAAGTCATCTGCCAATTCCCTTGCTACCGAGACATTGACAACTGACTCCCACACAGAAACAACCATTCTGCCCAGTTTCCAATCACAGTTCAACGTTCCCTGTGCCAAGTTCTGCCTCAATCACAGCACTATATGGTGGCTTTAAGAGTCTCCCTGACAGACGTACCACCTAAAAACCATCAGTTCAGTGTCCTGCCAAGGGAATATGGCCAGAGATATTGATGATTGGTAGCATTCACAGCCTAATTCAAAACATTTACAGCAGCATCCTCACACGCTGAGGTCCTTAGCTGATGCCGCTGAAGCGTGTGAAAGTGTGATGCTCCATCTACCTGGGAGGTTCTCTGGGGCTCAGTGTCATTTACATCAGCCTAAACCATTTGTACCAGCACTGCACAAACAGTGCTGTCTGATTCCCTAAATGCTTGATTGATCCCTGGCTCTCCTGTGCAGGCGCTCTGCATAGTTCAGTGGAGGGACCATCTCATTTAGCTTCTTTCTTTAGGACCTAGCAAGACACTTGCCCTATGAAACTAGTACCCAAGCAATGTGTGTTGAAAGGAGGATTGAAACAACTGTGTACAACATGTTGGTGCAGAGTTGAACAGCTAGACATTCAGGAGAGAGATCACTCACTGCAACAGACAGAAAGTAAGGGCGGAGCCATGGATTGCAAAGATGCCAGAACCAGCACTGGGCAGGGTAGCCAACACTGTAGTACATTCCAGCCCACTGAACTTTTTTTTCCACATGTCCTGGCACACTGCCAGAGACTGTCGTAATGTGTTCCCTGCTGTGACAAACACTGACAATTTGTGGAAACTCGGTGCTTACAGAAACTGTAAGTTTGTTCAGCTGTGAAATGGGTCTGTCTTCTGGGAAGATTTCAGAGATTTATATGTGTAAATACTTTATATCACTGGGCTTGGCAGGCAGATGATGCAGTATAGTAGGAGTTTGTTTGTCTGTTTGTTTTCCCATTTTTTCTTGGCTGCTTCTAGGGCTCTGTGTCAAAATTAAATGTGCCCGCCTTTCAAATGTTCAGAGAGAAAGACTGATTTGTGAGTCTTGGCACTGGGCTTGCTCCTGAAAGTTGCTCCGTGAGTTGTTTTAAGGGCTCCGTTCTTTTCCTGTGTATTTCCCATTTGGGTCCCATCCAATTATGCGGAGTCATTGCTGTGTGCCCACCCTGCACCTTCCCACCAGGCAAGGCTGCCAAGCAGAGAATCCAATCTTAGTTCCACATTCCCTTGAGAGCACTGTATCCACATCTCAAGAAGCCCGGAACATTAGCAGGCAGAAGCGGAATCCACACGGACTGCCGATTCAGCTGGAGGCATCTGAGACAGGTGCTCCTCTCAGTAAGACCTTCCTGGCAGAGGCCTGGGAAGAATCAGAGATTCATGGCAGAGTGAGCTTGTTGGAATGAATAGCATCCCAGGAAGGTAAGGGATGCTGCTGCAGTGGGACCTGCCCCAATTCTTGGATCACTACAACCACTGCTTCTACCATCACCAACAGCAAGCTTTCCCTTTAACTATGAGAAGTGTGATGTTGGTCATTTTAGTTCACACCTATTGTCACTTGCTCTCCCTTAAGATGTCGTTTACAGCTGCTCCCTGACACCAGGTGAATAGAATGTCAAATGATGTGTATCTCTATGTCTCCCACTTACAGAGTTCTTCTGTGCAGGTCTGGCTTCTCTTTAGCTCCCTCTGTGTATCTGGCTCCTAGTGTTTCCTCAGAGAGCATTGGTTGAGCTGTGGTCTTGTAGTTTTAATCTCCATTTCGCTGATGATTACTAGTGGTGAAACGTTTTCACTGAAAATCATTGCCCCCCTGCTCCATCCCCTTTGGAGGAATGTCCAGGTGAATAATTTGTCTATATGTAAATTTGCTTATCTTGGATGATTTGATTTTGTTTAGTCATAGGCAGTTCCTCATACAAGTTGGATATTAGCTCCTCATCAAATCGCAGCTGAAAGTGGCTGCATTGCATGGCTTGTCCCTTTGCAAAAAGGAGCCTTGTTTGGCACAGCCCCACTTGTCTCTTCCCTTCCAGCTGCCGTGCAGCCTCACCAATGTAAATGTCCTCAAGTTTCCTTTTACATTTTCCCCCGGGCTTTTTATAGCTTCAGGTCTGACACTACATTCTTCAATACATTTGAGATGATTATGGTGTATGGGGTGAGGAATGAGTTCAGTATGGATCCATTCTTTTCTGTATGGTTGTGCAATTCGAACACTGTTTATGTGAAAGACTGTCCATGTCCCGTTGTGTGGAATTGGCTTTATTCAGTGACAGAGAGGATTTATTGCTGAAATGTCTGCTCTTTTAAAAGGTGTGTTATGGTGATACGAGTTCTGTGGGGAAAAAAATGCAACAAGCTTACTATATTTAATGACTCGGGGTGGGCTTGCCATTCTGTTCAGTTGGTTTCTGTGCAGTGTCTATGGCTGTAACTCACCGTGTGAGCCATTGCCATTCTGCTCTCTATTCTGAAATCATAGGCTGCAATACTTCCTGTTTATCTTCTCACAGTTGCTTTGGCTGTTCAGGGTCCTTAGTGTCCCTTAGGATTATATTCTATGACTTAAGTCAATCACAGAATAAACAATACTGTGTGAAATAGCTAGAGACCAGCACACAGCAAGGAATGAAACTGTGTCTGTCCCCAGGGATGGAGGGAAGGAGAAGAGGTTGGAGTTTTGATCTTGTGTGATGAGAGAGGTTCCTGGAGAGCTGTTGCACTGAGCTTCTCTGTACGCCATCCTGCTCGGTGTGTGTACAGTTTGCTTAAAAGGGTGAATCTCATATTAAGCACTCTCACTTGAATTTTAAAAAGAAAAAAATTATCATAATCAGAAAGACTAGAAAAAAACTATCAAGCCATAGTTATTTTAAAAAATGATTTGTCGATAAAAAGCTAATGTGTTTTAATATTTTAAGAATTTGAATGGTGACCATTCCTGTGCTTCCCTCATCGATGTAAATTGACTGACATTTTTCTCATTTAAATGCCTGTCTGGTTTAACAAAAATCATGCAGAAAATGTAGCAGGTTGTTTGTATGACATATGGGCTAGGGTGGGCAGGTGATTCAGAATAATTCCATGGGTCATTTCTAAAGGAGCGCATGCATCTGTGACAGAAGGCCTTGCATCCAAACTGTAAGGTACTGTCTGTTTATGTCATGCTCCCGTGGCTGGAGACAACCCTGATTTCATGCAGCTGAGGCTGGATGCCTTGTTCCTGACTAATTCATATCACAGGTCTCAGGAAGGAATCTGCACCTTTCATAGGCCATCCAGTGTCACCCATCACCTCATTGGTACCCAGCATGTCTCCTGGTACACCG